AAAAAAAAAAAAGAAATCTCGATATGAAATTACAATATATGTAACATTGGGACCAGAAAAAATAGTCGTCCGGTCTTTCTTGTCCCTGGAACAATTGCTTCTGGAAGGGGTTTCTGTTAAGATATTTCTCCTGGATTCATTTAAAGAATTGGTTTACTGGCAGGACGTGTTTCTGATATCTGCATACGTGCTCCCAGTTATTAATATGCTGATCTGTACCTAGACAATAAAAGTTGCCTGAGATATGATGGAATTAAATCAATAAGCAATGACATGAAACGATGACACGTAATGATATGTTTTGCAGACTGACATCACCTCAGCCATATCCTGGGGCCGTCCATACCACGTCGAAGGCTGATTTAATTTTTTGTATTATACCTATTTGGGAACAGGAATAAAATTGCATTAAGATGCCTTGAAAGTCATTTCCCCCTTCCCTCTATCTCAAAATACAGCAAATCCCAAATGCGAAATTGGAATAAGGAAGGAATGTTTTTCCACTGTATCGTGGGAATGCAGACCAAAGTAGAGTGAACGTGGGCCGGAGGGAGAATGCCTGCATGGTACCGGCAGCTGAGGGCACCCGGGCATCGCAGGGGAGTGCACAGTGGTCGTGCACACCTCTGTCGCCCACAGTGCTGCCAGGGACCAAGAGCTACTGCTCATGTTGGGCTGCCTATGGATGTGCTGAGCTTTTGAAGGCAAAATCTGGTGGTGGTGGTGGTGGGAAAGCATCATCTTTGCCTGAGCGAGCGAAGTATTAAACATCTGTGCGGAGCTGGAAGAGACGAAGCCCAGCTGGATGTGCTGTGGTTGTCTGGGTTTGGTCCCAGCTCAGCAAACTATGTGGGCAGAAGGGAACCAGAGGTCTGGCCCCCATTTAGCCAATTAGTTAAGCACATGAGTCATCCAAACGAGGATCAGTTGGTTGATCTCTGCCGAGGGATGGGCCCAGGGAAAGGCTGAAGGGTCTTTGCTGGAGCCTCCTGCCTGCAGTTGTGTTTTTTTGCTGGGTGCAGGCCAGCATGTTTGGCCCCTTGCAGTACGTGCATGCTCCAATTTCTACGTGAGTACTTGGTAAAGACCATGTGCAGATTTTCTTGGCTTGCATTATCCCATCTATGGGGCATTTGTTGCATATTTAATGATATTTTTCCTGCAGCAGCACGCCTGAGAGTCACCTGTACGTGGCATTTCCTGGAGGAAGACCCAGGCGAGCGTGCGTGCCCTCTAATATGGTTTGTATAATTGATAACAAAGAGAGGCTCTGACCCCACAAGCACCCATAGACAGGATCATTTTCATTAACTCACGGGGGCTGTTGATCGGTGGTTTTGGATGTGCTCCTAATTAGCCAGCCCACCAAAAAAAAAAAACCTGAAAAGCAGGGTTGCTGACTCGGCACGGTGTCTGTGGGAGCCTAGCCCCAGGGGAGCAGCCCCCTCCTCGCCGCCCAGCCCAGCGGCCGTGGGCTCAACGGGGTAGGAAGCGCAAGCTGATTTACTGACAAACCTGAAAAGAGCTTTGCTGAAAACTGTTTGGGTTACAGTAAAAAGCCAGCCCTGTCCGGGGTTCTGGGACAGCTGGAACTTTTTGAATTAATCTCTTTCTTTTTTTTCTTTCTTTTTCTTTTTTTTTTCTTCCCCCTGCCAGAAGCAGACCGGCCGAGCGACACCGATTTCTTTGTGCAACTGTGAGCTTTGATGGCTGCTTATTTGAAAAACGTTTGTGAAAAAAAGATTTGGAATTATCAAAGTATCCTGGTTTGAAATTTTCTAAATGGAAGGGTCTCGGTTTATGAAGAAAAATCAGATTTATTTTTTTAAAAAATGGCTTTTAACAAATATTAAGGGAAGAAGAAAAGCATACAAA